CCGGACACGTCCGGTATGTGCAGGCAGACAGCACGTCATGTGCTGCTTGCACTTCTTGCTCCGGCTCGGTGCTCTTGAGGTCTTGTGAGGCTTCTTCGCTGTATGATGACACAATGGACATACTTTCCAATGACTTAATCTCAAGTGCATCATCACATTTGGATTTTCCATACAAATCAAAAAGTCTAGTCCAAATGAGATGAGCACTCTCCGGAGGTGGTTGTTCATTGAAGATTGCCTCATCTTGAACCTCTACACTCAATGTACTCAAAATAATATTAATAGCTTGAGCATTGAGTTGCACGCATATCTCTTCCTCTTTTGACAAATTTTTGTAGTTGCTCCAATCAACTATAGAAAGAGGTATGCTTGCATCCACAATATGCTCAACAAGAGGACTAATATCTCTAAAAGCATTGAGTACATGTATTGACCAAGGTAGAAAGTTTGAACCATCATTTTGGAGAAGCACCGGCTCCAACTCGATAGGCGTCGACATCCTTTTCTCACGGCGGTGAAGCTTTAGGTGAGAACCTTGCTCTGATACCAATTGAAAGGACCTAGGATGTCGCCTAGAGGGGGGGTGAATAGGCGTTTCTGAAAATTAACACCTTTAAATGCGGAAACAATTAGAAAGGGGAGTTTCCAAAATGGAAACTCCAAATTAAGAGTACTACCACCCCTCACAAGTTAGCCACAGAGTAAACAAGGTATAAAGAATATATCTAGAAGCTACAACCCTGCAACATCAAGTTAGAACAGAGAATAAATATTTTTAGTGCAGGCAGGAAATACCGGACGTGTCCGGTATGAATACCGGACGTGTCCGGTATACACGATTTCTGCAGATCAGCCCCGAACTTGCTCCTTTTGATTTCTATCTTCAAACCAAACTGCAGGCACCTAATTTAACTATCAGTGTACACAGAGAACCTGCACAAGTGCTAGAGCAACACAAATATCAAATGAAATGCGAATTGAGACACGATATTTGTTTTACCGAAGTTCGGACTCGTTCGAGTCCTACTCTCCGTTGAGGGGGGTCTGCAGGCGACCCAACAAGGTCACCCTAGAGGATACCACGAAGGTCACTCTAGCCGAGTCTTTTCCAACTCCTTTTCCTCCTTCCACTAATTGATTCCGAGGCGGCGGAATCGACCAATTACAAACTTTCCGAGGCACACCACAATCTCCCGGGTGCTCTCCGTGACGTCTAACCGCTCTAGGACTGAAGAGTCCAAGAGTAACAAATCTGAATCACGAGATTGACAATATGCACAAGTGCTCAAGTGGTGGCTTGCTCTCTTTTCAAATTCTCTCTTAACCCACAAATTGATTTTGTAATTTGGATCACACACTCACTAAGAGAGGGTTTAGGAGAGTTGGCAAGGCTCAAAAAACGTGTGTCTATCTCAAGAGAATCAATGACCTCCAAAGGTGGAGGCTTGGGGTATTATAGCCCCCTTGAAAAACTAGCCGCTTTATAGCCGTTGCAAATACCGGACACGTCCGGTATGCATACCGACACGTCCGGTATGACTCACTCACACCAACGGTAACTAAATTACTGATGATGTTGTGAGGCATCGGAACTCCCAAGAATGCTTGGGACTTCCGACCGTCGAACTCCCCGACTCAAGTCGGAACCCCGACCCTCGGTAATTTTGAAAAACATGTAATCGAAGTTAAAGTTAGTGAGGTGTGGAACTCCCGACATATGTCGGAACTCCCGACCGTCGGAACTCCCGACATACGTCGGAACTCCCGACCCTCACGGCTTTTGAAAACTAGCCGTTGGCTTCTGGTCATCCATACCGGACACGTCCGGTATTAATACCGGACACGTCCGGTATGACCAGGACAGTGAACCCTCCAAGTCAGTTGAAGTGCGACACGTCGGAACTCCCGACCCATGCCGGGACTCCCGACCGTCGGAACTCCCGACCTACGTCGGAACTCCCGACTAACCAACCCGAGAACAACAATTTTACAATTCTTTGGACAAATCTGGGACACGTCCGGTATGAATACCGGACACGTCCGGTATTGCCAGACCAGCAACAAATCAGTTAGCTCTTTTGTCTCTCAAATACTCAAAACTCACATGGGTTGGCTTGAGCACTTATGAAACATTATCTATCAACATGATGCATCCCTCTTAATAGTACGGCATACCTATTAAACTCAAGACAAACGGAAATATGAATTTGTACCACTTGAGTTGTTCTTTTGAATTGATGCCGTCCCTTCCAATCTTCATCAAGTAAGGGTGCTAACATGTTGATGTTGATCTTTTCACTTGAGCATAGCCATCTTGAGCATGTGACTTGATTCCATTCATCAAGTTTGAATAATCCCAAATGTATCAAGTCACTTCCATCAAATACTTCATTATAGATTTGATCCTTCACATCAATATGACCATCTTAGCTTGACTAGTACCTCAACTAAATACAAGTACTTTCTTCTTCACCCTAGCTAGGTTCTTGACCGCCAAGCCGCCGCTTGCCCTTCACCCTTGCTTAGTACCTCGAAGCCTTTCCTTGCTATCTTCACCATCTCAAGCCATCAAGTCACATCTTGTGTTGAATCATCCATTCATATGTATTGTTATCTTTTTCATTTTAATTTAGCAAGCTTCAGATATGAGACCATTCCATATGCAATCCATCATGTCTCATTAACTAATAATCATGAGCTTGCTATCACATAGTACATGGAAATCCCACAATAAATAAGCCTTCACATGAATTCCATTTGCATTGTTGTCTTGTGCTTGAACTAGATTGTTTATACAACAACACATCATTTTGGCTTTCATTAAGTATCTATGAGATAACCTATTACCTGTTCACACTTTAGCAAACGGGTTAGTCCTTTAATCATGTTGTCATTCAATCAACCAAAACCCACTAAAGGGCTAGATGCACTTTCAGGTTTCAACGTGGAAATCATCCGCACGGATATCTTTGAAGCTTAGAAGCGTGCGCTTCGAGTCGAGGTACAATAGTGCATCTTTCACAAAGATTTGATTACCCATAGGGAGAACCAGTGTGGCACTTTCGGTGCCCACAATATGAGCATTGCTTCCGGCAATGGTAATAATATTTCCACTTTTCTTAGCCAAAGTGTGGAAATATCTGGTTTCCCTCAATATTGTATTGGTGGTGCCACTGTCTATAAGACAGATCTCCGCTTCAGCCATTGGGCTCCCACGAGGCCTGCCAAAAATCATAAGAATTTGGGGATTTAACATAAAACATATATTACAAAAGAAAGACCAACATTCATAAATATTGCAAGGAGTTTGGGTCCATTTAACATGTTACAAATGCTCTTCAGGAGCATGCATGGTCAAACTCTACATGCGGACATTACATTATGACTGACATGATATTTCAGGGATTATTGTAGGTCCCTGAATATATCAATGTCATCCTCAAGAAGGTCGTTCTCACTTCTGTCCATTTGGACGTCTTCACCATTTCCTTTTGTTTCGACGAGCATGTCGCCACATTTCTGAGCTTCGGGCTCAGTGGTGAAGTGGGACTCATGTTGACCTTTACCCTTATTTTTACTCTGTTGGTAGAGGTCAACCAGGTGTTTGCGGGTGCGGCATTTGCGGGACAAATGCCCCTTTGCTCCGCATCTGTAGCAATCACCTTGCTCTTCCCCACTATGTTCACCATTTTCCTTCTTGGTTTCGCTTTTATCTCTGGGGTTTTCCTTGCCTTTGCCTTTGAACAAGGCGCCTCTTTTCCCCTTCCAACTTCCCCTTCCACAACCTTTCTTGCGGTTGCGAGAACTCTCAGCAACGTTGGCATGTGCTTCGGGCATAGCAAAAGAACTAGTAGGCCGGGCAGAATGATTGTTCATGAGAACTTGATTCTGCTATTCAGCAACCAACAGTACTTCAATTAGCTCAGAGTACTTAGAGTACTTTGAGTTCCTGTACTGCTGTTGCAGTGTTATGTTGCCGGGATGGAAGATAGAAAGAGTTTTCTCGATCATATCAGTGTCAGTGATCCTCAGGCCACATAGACACAGTTTGGACACAATCCTGTGTAAAGCGGAGTTATATGCTGCCACAGACTTAAAGTCTTGGAAACGTAGAGTGATCCACTCCTGTTGCGCTCTGGGGAGCACAATCGACTGTTGCTGGTTGAAGCGGTCCTTCAGGGGCTGCCATAAAACCAGTGGATCCTTCATAGTCATGTACTCAGACTTCAGGTCTGAGAGTAAATGGTGTCGCAAAAAGTGCAACGCATTCGCTTTATCATGTTTTGTGCGCTCATCCTTGCCCGCTTCAGGCTGGACAATGGTATGATCGAGTCTCATGCCGTCGAGTCTGATATCGACGTCAGTAGCCCAGGTTAGGTAGTTGCTGCCATCTAGGGCAAACATGGTGAAATCCCTCTTCGCAATATCCGACATGCCTGCACCATTAATATGCAGAATTAGCGAACGTCGGTTATTTGTAATCTTCAGCATTACGACTATACGTGATCTTCAGGATCACATAGTCATGTATAATCTTCAGGACTATACATTTTCCCCAAATATATTTGCATATAATCTTCAGGATTATATACGATTTATACCAAAAAACATAAACTTGCATAAAAATAAATCTGCAGGATTTAAATAGATGCAAGAAAGTAAATTGCAATAACAAAGTAATACGCAACAGTATAAATAACATAAAGTAATATAGTGGACTTCAGGCCACTATTATTTTCACGGGCTTCAGGCCGTGCTATTTATGCGTGCGACTTCTGGTCGCGAACGCGTAAGCCAAACGGCTTCAGGCCACTTTCCTTTTGTTTATTTACATGCCGCATGGGAGAGGATGCCGTGCAGCATGTATGCGTGGCTCCTGGCCACTTTACAGTACAGAATTGTTGACGGCCTTTCTTATCCCTTCCATCTCTCTCTTAGGCCTCGTTCGCTTCGTGGAGAATGAGCCCCGGAAGAATTTCGGCCCGGAACCATTCATTAATTTATATAAGATTTTTATATCCGGAATACTTCCTCCCGTAATATCGGCTGACCGAACGAAGCCTTAGGAAGAAGAGATAAGAAGTTTGCTTCTCTGAGAGAAGAACGGGAACAAGGAGGCCACGGCCGGAGGGGCTCTCGCCAGCGCTTGATGGCCAGAGGCCAGCGGCGGCGGCAGTCTGCAGGGCCTGCCCATGTGCGCCAGCGGCGGTCAGACGGCTCAGCTCTGCGCGCCCGTTGACGGCCGGGGTGGCTGCGGCGGCGGCCTGTAAGGCCTGCTCGTCCGCGTCCATGGCAGCCAGTGGCGGCAGTGCGTCCCACGCAGTCGCTTGCGGTGGCCTTGCTTGTATGCTCAGCTCAAATATCCGGTTGCTTCAGGCAACCATCGAGGTATGGCTTGAAGCTACGCTCGACTACCGTGGTGCGTGTATGCACATCCACAGGTGAAGAGCTTGTTCATGGCATCTGTATGTAAGATAATCGATTTCTCACCTTCTTACCATTAGCCCGGTAGTACTCGTGCTGATAACGTGTTAATAAATCGGTTCTGTCGGTGCACGCACACAGAAGCACAGAGACACAAATATAGAACAGAGAGAGATAGGGAGGAACGGGAGCTCTTGTTATTTTATTTCCCAGTTGCCTCATTGCCTGTGTATACATGAGAGACGAACTCGTCTCTATTTATAGAAGTGACCGACAGACAACGCTTCTCCGCACTCCCATGAGCCTTGTCATTTTAGCGTTCTGTCATATTAGCGTTCTGTCATATTAGCGCTCTGTCATATATGATTCACCCACATCCATACTTCACGTTTCACAACAGGCATCTCCCGTATCCGTGAACGCAAAGTCTAAGGTGCGCGGGGTCGGGCTCCTGGTGGAGGTAGCGACCGCACGCGGCCTGGCCTGCGTGCCATTGGGCCCTCTCGAGCCTGCTGCACTTGACCTGCCTCGTTTGAATTGGCACGGGTCCAAAGCTTGTGCTACTTTTAGCTACTGGCGGTTCAGTAAAGATTCTGTGCTTAAAAATTCTGAGGCCACATGCTGGTGATGTCAGCCTGTAGATATGTAGTCCCTCACTCCGTATAGAAGAGAATGTAACTATGAGATCTGTACCGATCAAAGTAGCTTAAGTTTGACTAAATTTATAGCAAATAATATTAATATTTATTTTTCTAAATAAATTTGTTATGAAAATATATTCTATGACTAATCTAATGATACTAATTTTTTATTAGAAATAATAGTATTTTTTATATAACTTTGGTCAAATTTCAAACTGATTGACTTCTCGAAAAGCGAAAATTACATCTTTTATGGACGGAGAGAGTACTGGTACCTGTTTGTGCGCACTTCGAACAAATTGCTTGCAGGTTGCTTGTCTCTCCTGCTACCTGCTACTCTTAATTTTATTTAGTTTTTGTTTTATGTGAGTTTTTAGTTTTCTTTTCATTCTTGTATTCTTCTTCTTTTTTTACTTCTTTTGGGTTTCATTTTTTTCTTTAGTTTTTATTTTCTATTTGTCATTTTCAGTTTCATTTTCCGGTAATTTTAGTTTCATTTTTTTTTCAATTTGTATACTTTAGTTTTCAGTCTTGTTGATTTTTTTCATTATTTTCTTTTTTCATTGTGTCTTTTAGTTTTAATTATTTAAGTTATGTTTTTTTCTATTTTTTCTTTTCAGTTTTAAGTTAATTTTTTTTAGTTTCAGTTTTTAGTCAAGCTTTTTTTAATGTTTTTTAGTTTCAGTTTTCAGTCACCCTTTTAGGTTCGAATACAATCCTAAATCCTACGTGTTAGTTGTATAATAACGTATCCTCTAAGTTGGCGCCTGCAATGCTTCTTCTAATAATTTGCCCCTCAGGGTGCAGCCTTTCTTATTTTGGGTCACTACTCTTGTCTTTTTAATAAATGTTCCTCCAATTATTAGCTACTCATGTTTCCTGGCTCATACAGTGGGTTTTATAATAACTTGCCTCTCTAGTTGCCAGCTTATGCAATGCTTGTACTAATAATTTGCCCCCACGTTGTAGTTTGTCTTGTTTGGTGCCCCTACCCTCATTTTTTAATAAATGCCCCATGTTGGTAGCAAGTCATGTTTCCTGGCTTTTTTTAATGCGTTGTATAATAACTTGACCTCTTTAATTGGCAGCTTATACATTGTTTATTTTTAATAATTTGCCCTTTCAAATTGTAGTTTGTCTTGTATTGAGCCGCTGCTATCTTTTTAGGGGTTAGTATCTTTATATAAATACTATATAACAATTTTATTATATTCTCATGGTAACAATAGATGTGCATACTATGTAAAAACTTTATTGTATTTTTGAAGTAGCAAGTTTAGTATTACATGGCAGCAACTCCTACATAAATCTTCTGGCATATTTTAACACATAAATTGCTACCGGAATAAAATTCTTCGAAATATAGGTAAATAGGGTTTAGTGAGTTTAGTTTTGTTCGTCTCGTTACGTAGAGCACACGTGACGAAATTAAAAACCGATACAACATTAAAAAGTTATAGCCATTTAGGGCCAGTTTAGTTCCCCAAAATTTTGCTAAAATTTTTCAGATTCCCCGTCACATCGAATCTTTGGACGCATGCATGAAGCATTAAATATAAATAAAAAATAAAACTAATTACACAGTTTAGACGAAATCCACGAGACGAATCTTTTAAGCCTAATTAGACTATGATTGACACTAATTGCTAAATAACAACGAAAACCGCTACAGTACCATTTTGCCAAATTTTTTAGCATCTAAACAAGGCCTTAAAGAAATGGTTTGACTTTTTTTTTGCTTGTCAGAGCTGGTCGGGACGCCATGCATGTCGCGCATGTGCAAGTGCGTGCGCGCTGCGCGCCTGAGCGGCTGGGGACCAAGTGCAAGTGAGCACTGTCGTGCATGCACTCACGCGTGGGGGCAGGGACCTGGGGTCGTGCGTTTTGACTGTACCGCGACGGGTCGCGCTTTAACCGCCTCCATGTGTGAATGTGTGATAAAAAAACAGAGGTAAAATGACGTTTCTTCTCAGAGAAAAAAACAAAGGTAAAATGACGTACGTACACACAAAGGTAGTTAAACATTCGTGCATGGAGATGAGAGTAGCTCATGTTTTGGGAAAATCATCAGTAGCAAAATGGAGCGGCAACGGATTTGAAAAAAAAAGGGAGCGGCAACAAAGTGTCAAGGCTCGATTATGAGAGTCGAGTCGCGACTACTATTAATTCATGTTCTTTTGAGCTTTCCGTCCATTCGTTTTAGCTTTGCAACTCAAGGTTTCACATTGATACCTACAAAGTATCGCGTGAACAATGGTCATCGTGGGTTCCTCAATTATTATTTCTAAATAAACAAAATCTGAAAATCATATATCTTGGGAAAATGTAAAGCAATCTAATAAATCAATACGAAATAAATAAAAAATAACATCTTGGAAGTGAGGACTAGCTCTAATGAAAAATAAACAAAAAAACCTTATATGAATTTCAATGTTAAGGCCTAAATGCCCTTATGAAAATAGCCTGGTAAATCTTCTATATGCAAATTAAGCCCATTAATACAACGGAGTATTTTCACTTTTAAGCTTCATGGACAAACTCATATAGTCTTTTTCTTCTCACTTGTTGCAATGCACAAACATATCCTTTAAGCAATTGCCACTCTTTTATTTGAAGTCATAATCCTCTAAACTTTGGAGGCATTGGGAGGCGTTATGGCCATATGGGCCCACCGACCATAGACACATCTAACGTCTCCCTCATTGATGCCTCTCAACGCCTTCCCTCTTATGGGCCCACAAATCATAGACACAACCAACGCTTCCTGACGCCTCCCCAACCATAGTAAAAAAGTTCAAATAAAGAAGTTATAAGCTTTTAGTGCATCTAGACTGTCTCCAACAATAGTTACCCAAAATACAAGACCCATTCCATATTTGGGTAGCGCTATAGGCAAATGGTTCCATACCCATTTTTTGTCTTCTCCAACAACAACACCAAAAAGAGAATCATTTCTGTAAATTGGTCTCCAGAAGAGAGGATACTCAGATATAGGTTATACCTCTCATGGCATCTAAAATGGGTCTTTCATATAGGTACTCTGTTGGAGGCTATATGTATTCTGTTGGAGACCCATTTTTATTTGGGTCTCCTAATGGGTCTTCTGTTGGAGACAGCCTTAGGTGGGTGCATATCTATTTTCGTCAAAGCTAGAGCATGGCTGATTTGGTGGTGCACCTTGATGAAGTTGGAAGACTCCATAGCGCGAGGTGATCGGACTACTCCGATGAGAGTGAGGTGAAAGGAACTAGAGGAACCAAAGTGTTGGATGGGAACTCGAACAAGCTGCATGGAAGGGGGTGGCGAGCAAAAAGGCAATGGAAGACACATTAATTAATTGCTTGGGAGTTTTCACGTCCAATTCCCAGAAATAAATTGAGAGACAGATGGAGTAAGAAGGGCTAGGAAAAAGAAAACCCTACTTGTTCTTGCATAGTTGCATGAGTGAAGTATAAAAAAGATGGTAAATATTTGATTTCCAAACTTAACTAAAGCGAGAAACCATATTGTCAAATAGCATCCTAGAAGTACATTGGGGGACTGATGGAGTATGAAAGGCTAGTGGAAAAAAGTCCTACTCACACTATAGTTGCTTGAACGAAGTATAAAAAAAGATGGTAATATTTGATTTTTGAACTTAATTTAAATTGAGAATTCATATTGTCAAACGGCATCCAGAAATAGATTGAGGGACATATGTAGTAGGAAAGGCAGTGGACAAGAAAACCCTACTCATGCTTGTATAGTTGCATAAATGAAACGTAAAAAAGAGTCATAATAAATATTTATTTTCCAAACTTAATTAAAGCCGACGACTTTGCTGTGATCTTTCAAGACTAGTATATGCGACGAGCCGACGACGGAGGTTATATTATACACAATGTATGTTTAAAAAGGATAGGAACGTGTGACTAATCGTATCAGGCCATAACTCTTTTTGGCTATTTATTTTTGTTGTTAGTGGTCCAGGCATATATAAAAAATTTTGGTCTATTTATTTCTACTGGTAAACTTCTATTTCCGAGAACTATTATATATAAGTACATATAAATTTATCATTGCTCAACTTGCTCGAGAAATTTTCTATGTTTAGAAGCTCTTATAAACAGCTTTTATGCATATGTATACAAGTTTTTTTCGCTATTCAACATCGGTAGAAAAAGAAATAATTTTGCAAGAATTCGTTCAACTATATTTTGTTTATTTAAAAAATATTTCATAACAAT